CAAATTCTGATTCTAGCTGACTACTTTCCATTTTCTCAAACTAATTCTAAGTGATCCAAAACTGAACAAACATTTTGTCTCAAGACTTTTGCAACAGGGGATAGTAACACTTCATGAGAAGCGATTACTTTTTGGGTCTCATCAAATGACACATAAAATAAAATATTTATATCGATTGCAAACGAGTCTGATATCTATTCTTAGTAACAATACCAAAAAAGTTAATAATCTTAATTATACATTGTGGTTTGTAATGTTTTCATAGATTGGATTACACAAGCAGACAGAAGTTTTTGATATACGTGTTTAAACGACTTAATCTCAGTTTCACGTCCGTTGAGAAAGACAATTGTTGCATTTGGAAAGCGTGCAACTTTTTTTATGTGTTATATATATGTATATGTCAAAAGTATTGTGCAAAAACTTTTTGGATGGTTTTCAAATGCAAAAGTTGCCTGTTTTTTTTTAGCGTTTTTAATGATAATCGTAACTACTTTTAATATATTCTAAATGAACGTAAAAATGCTTAAACGGTAGTCGTGATTAGACCATTTAGAAGTGTTTTCAGAGGTTCTCAGATAATGTGTTGTACAAGCTTGTTTCACCGTTAGTAGATGAAAATAAAGTTTTCTCACCTGATTGAACCAATATTTTTGAAAGCTCTAGTTTTTTTTCTCTCTATATCCTATATTTTGATAAACTTGATGATGAATGAATAATTTCTCGGAGAGATTTTTTTTTCGATTGACAAAAGATATTAATTATTCATTGCATTATACTATTTATTTATTTAAAACGAAGTACACATACTAAACGCTTCCTATAATATGACTAGTATAAATTTAATGAATTAATTTAGAATAAGGATTTTAAAATAGAAACCATTTTAACATGTTAATGCAAGAATTATTAATTGTTCTACTACGATTGAATAAATTCTTTTTGTTAATTTACAAATCCTTCTTTGCATTAAAAAAATATGATGAAGTTTCACTTGTTTACTTTGAATAGATACTAATTTAAAATATAAATGATACTTCTTAATTTCTTATGTTATACCAATGTACAATTATAGTCTACGGTTTTCGATAACTTAAATATTTTGAAATTAGTAAAAACAAAAAGAATTTCTTGAATATAAAAAATATCAATAGACAGCAAAGTTGAAAATAGAAACTTAACAATGACAGTTATTAGTCGTCAATGCTTTTTTTCATTGTTAATACGAATTTAGAGTGAATCGGTACATCAAATCAAGATATGTAATCATAAGGAAACGATGAAAGTCGTGTTTATATTTTTGGCACCATTGAGTTCTCTTAATAATAATTCATCTGAATCATACAGAAAAAAAAACTGCTTTCGTTACAGATTCTGGCATGTTTATTGACTATATTGGTGGTCATAAGAGGTTTCTTGGTTTCAGTGATTGTAAGGATGATGATTGCAAATGTATCCCTACAGAAGTGTTGGATATTTTACATTGATATATTTCAAGTCAGACATTTTTAGTAAACTACAAACCTCCATTAAGTGTTTAATAATCATTAACTTCAAGTCTGACGTAGAAGTAACTGTATTTATTCACAATTATTAAATCAACTTAATTTGATCATTTACTGATAACACACTTATCAGCATGTAATATTTGTTTTCCTTCAACCTACGTTTTCTTTTACAATCGACAAAATTAAAGGTTGTTTTGAAATAATATTTGCTCTTATTATTTTTTTTTGGCGTTTCCATATTTGAAGATAACAAGTTTAATAAACATGAAAAAAAATCAAAACATTATCATCTTGCAATACACATGTAACTTTCTTAATATGTTTTTTTTCGAAAGTCAGTTATACGTGAAGAAATATTTATTTCCTATATACAATTAAATTTATGTGATATCAATCATTCAATTTATAATTAATTAATCTAGGAAATAATTCGAAAACAGATTGAAAAATATTTGAAAAAAAAATAGAAAAACTGCAATGTGAAAGTTCTCAGATAAACAAAACTTTTCTCTTTAGAATAAATACATCAAGCATACTTACATATATCGAACTTAATCTATTTATTCTTCTCATTCAATTTATATGTTCTTGATTAAATATAAATCTCAAATTATTATTTTGAATATTTACAAAATCAACTACAGAAAAAAAATAACATAACAATTTAGCATGCAGAAATCATTATTTTCTCATTTCAGTAACGATTTGCATTTTCTATTGCTGTTAAATGATGATAATAATTCATATTATATTTTTAAAATAAAGATCAATGAAACAATAGAGGTCAATTAGTTTTTCTCCTTTCTTTCGTTCTGATTAGCATACGACATTTATTTTTGTAACATATGATATATAGTAAGAGAGTAGGAAATCTGCTGCATCTCATGATATATTTATCTTGAACACAAAATAACATTTAAATCATAAAAGCTGTACCGGTAAAACAGATGACGTTTTCCTTTCTACAATCCACGTTCACATCTGTATCATCATGAAGAAAACTTGTAAGTTTATCATTATGGTTGGTTATAATATAGATAAATTCCATATGCTATATCAATGTTAAAATGAACATTACTGTTTATTTCTGTTCAAAATGGATACGAGATTGATAACAATAGTAACGAGAAACTTACCCATGTAATTATGAAAAGAATCTACATGTTGATAAATAAACTAATAAGAAAACGAAAGACATGAAAACATATATCAGAAGAGAGAAAAGGATGTTCTATTATGCACATCAAGATGGATGATAAAACAGCCATGAAACAATTTAGAATCGAATCTTTTTTAATTTTACATAGAAAAAACAGCCTTGATCTTATTTTATTATGCTGATTAGTCTTGATGATAAAGTACTGAATAAATATAAACTGTGAGCTAGTGTCCTTCACGGGGACGATTTTTTTTGCACCCAGACCTAGTTCTAAGCTAATCGATATTTGGCAGATACCTTCACTAAAGTTTTTAAACTTATTAACATGAAACAGTATAATGTTTAGTTTCTTCCATAAATAGCAACAAAACAAAAGAATCATATCAAATTCTATAAAAATTAGTTGTTGTTGATTCTGGCGGACCGGAACACACTATTGGCCATAATTGTATATGGATCCATGATTTTTTTTTTCTAATCATGATAATACACGTTCACATTTTTGATAGCTGATTTTCCTCTCCATGCACTTAATTACTTTGTCATATGATTCATCATCATCTCTTGATGAATACCATTACGAATAAATTCTCATAACACAATATCGCTTTCCACTTTGTGACCTGTTCTTCTAGTACAATAAATTGCTGATTCATAATTGCACCGATTTTCATGACTATGCTCTTTTAAAGATTAGAAGTTGCAAAAGGTAAAAATATTTTGAAAAGTCGTGATTTTATTGATGTCCGAATCGAGTATTGGATATCAGATCCAATTGCAGAGCATAACTATGAAAAAATTTATGCTAATACAAATACAAACATAACAAATAAGAGAGAAAATTCGCTTAGTGCTCACACTGCATTGTAGAAAGCAAAGTATCATTGTTTTTTTAATATAGACTTTAGTGTTAACCATTGTTCATTGTTCACAGTGAAACTATTATAAGATGCAGTACATTATTTTACTTTATTGCTATATATAATATGTTTAAAAATAAATGAAGTATGCTAGTAAGAACAAAAAATAAACAACAGAAAATCAAGTAAACAAATAAATAAAATGTTAACATGTGATTGCACGATTATGATCGTAATATTTTATAAAATTCATTTTACGAATAGAAAAAAGCAAAGTACGAATATACAATAAGGTTCAGAAGTCCTTGTCATCGCATAAGCAATTTTTCTGAAAGTTTTGTGACAAGTTTCGTGAAAACTCTGTCGAAGATGAGAGAAGATCTATATGTAACTATACAAACCGAGAATCATCGTAAACATTCGTGCTGTAAGTGCAAGTGCCTGAACAACAAAATCCTACTTCACTGAAAGTGAAGTGATAAACTATTTTACAATACAGGAAGAGAAGCGATCGATCTCTTATCATAATTACTTATGTGATAGAGATCATTCTTTGGACTATCAAATATAATATCGCATAGATAAAAGAAAACATGGTACACTTTATGGCAGGTACCGTTATGATCGACCTCGCAATATTACTGTCATTGAGTATAAAGTCTTTGGGATGCTCATTCGATACAAAACTGCTTGACAACCGAAGTGGACATGTATCTTCGTGGAAGATACAGCGCTGACTGAAATAGATTGATTGAGGGAATACTTAGCACTATGCGGAAGTTGAAAAATGCGAGTGCAAAGGGGTCAATTTAATACAAAGGCGAAGATTGAAGTCGAATAATGTTCATTGACAGAATCTCCCAGAAATTATTCAGAAAGATAATTTATTGATAGCCAAAGAATTCAAGAGTTGACGTCAAGCAAGTTCCGAAGAACAGAAAGAAAGATCATAGTATAGTATGACTTAAGTGTCATAACCTTGGTCAGCTAATATCCATTCAGGATGATATCATCGATCATTACTAGTTTAAATCGTTGCAAGTCACTTGATCCACAATTCTAGAAAGTAATTCTGTCTATCGTATGGATTGGAGCAAGACTGAAGTTCCATATACAAATCTCAAACACTTACAGCATGAATCCAATTGAGAATCTCTGCTCAACCCTCTCATGTCGTATTCAGGAGCGACAACCATCAAGTCTACATGAAGTGAATCTATTTTTACGTGAGGAATACTACAAAATGAGCTTGATCATTCTAAATCATGTTATAAAATCATGATGATACACTTTGATGAATTCTTAGGAAAAGAGAATCAAATACTAATTGTGCTAGTTGCGTCCGTTGTGCTGTGCCTTATTTGTGAATATGATTGATTTCCATATTCATCGTATTCAATGTGAGAAACAGTTGAAATTTTGGAGGCAAATACTTTTGTACCTTACTATAAGTGCAAAGTAATAAGATAATAACTAAGGTGGCATACGAAGAAGAGCATCAAGTCGAATATTAATACCATTCAATAAAGGATTTTCTACAATTGCTTGAGCAAATTGTGCGAATTCATCTGGATCACCAAGTCGAGCAGGAAAGAGTGGAAAATTTCCTGGTGTATTAGGAACTTTTGCACGTAATCTACACAATAGTGGTGTATCGAAGGCACCAGGAACTATAGAACATACACGAATATTCATCGGTGCTAATGCTTCTGCTAATGGTCGAGTCATTTCTGCAATAGCTCCTTTTGATGCAGCGTAGGCTGTTTGTCCACGTCGTCCTTCAAATGCAGCTACAGATGACGTATTTATAATTACTCCATTATTTATCATTAATGGAATCATTTGCTGAATCATATTATATGTTCCATTAGTATTAACGTCAATTATACGATTAAAATCTTCAAATTAATGTTCAAAAATCAGTTGAGAAAGAATAATACCAGCACAATTAATAAGCACATCTAAGTGACCGAAATCTATTCGAATACGATCAAAAACATTTTTTACATCCAATTCAGATGTAACATCAGTTGGTAGAAATAATGATGAACCAGGAATAGATGATGAAGATGCTGATGGTAAATCACATATGATAACATGTGCATGTAGCTTATGTACAAATCTCCTTACACAAGCAAGACCGAGACCTGATAAACCACCAGTAATTAATGTAACAAGTTCTTTCATCTAGAATTTTAGTTTTATTGTCCTTTCATCTGAAAGTTTTCGGCATTGTTTTTTTTCTTCATTCAACATCAATACAAAAAAAAAGATAGAAACTGTCAATAAAGAAAACTGCTCGAACAAATGGAAAGACGGCCAAAAAAAAAAGGCTAAGTTCTTTGTCTATTCAACTAATCATTAAGGTGGCATACGAAGTGCTCCATCTAATCGAATAACTTCACCATTAAGATAAGGATTTTCAATAATAGCTTGTGCTAAATGTGCATAATCATCAGAATTTCCAAGTCGTGCTGGAAATGGAACCATATTACCCAATAATGTTCGAACTTTTGTAGGTAAAGCAGCAAGCATTGGTGTATGAAAAACGCCCGGTGCTATAGCACAAACACGAACACCCATATTTGATAAGTCTCGTGCTAATGGTAATGTCATAGATACAATTGCACCTTTTGATGCTGCATATGCAACTTGTCCAATCTGACCGTCATAAGCAGCAACAGATGCTGTATTAATAATAACTCCACGTTCACCTTGAGAACCAGGTTTATTATCAGCCATAACATGACAAGCCCAACGTATCACATTGAATGTACCTGCAGCATTTACATTAAGAACACGTTTAAATTCTTCAAGACCGTGCATTGAACGCTAAATAGAAAGAAATAAAGTTTCAGAATCAACATATAAAATCACGTTGAATGATATATAACATAAAATAATTTTCTTGAAAACTGACAGAAGCATCTACAGAAATTTTACATTTATGACAAATTATGATCTATTTATGAAGATCTATTTGTTCATGGAAAGAAAAAAGTCGTCTTAAACTTTTCTTTTTTTACAATAGAAACTATGTTATAACATCTTAAATTTTAAATCATATCAAAGCTTTATATTGCTTTCTTCTTACTTTATTTATATTATAAGTTCGAAAAGCAACACCAATACCAGCACAATTAAGAACAGCATCAAGACGATTATATTTTTGTTTTACTTTATTAAACATTTCTTGTATTTGTTGTTCATTAGTAACATCAGCTGGAAAGAACATTGGTGGTTGTATTTGAATATTTGGGTTTAGTGATGCAGTATCCTCTGCATTGAATGTGCTAAAATCTAGTTTACGAGCTTGTTCATCTTGACGCAACTAAACAAAATAAAAACATCCGAAAAAAAATTGAAATTAATTCATACTTATTAGATAAAGATTATAGCCTATGGCAGGAAATATTCGCTCAATTTTCGTTAGAGTTAGAGAAGCAGAGTTCTTTGCTATTTCCAAACATATTTTTAGATCTTCATTCTATCGCAAATATTAGTATGTGGTTAGTTTGTGTTAGTAACGAACTCAAGCTATTGATCGTAAGAATTCCGAATCAGGTAGATCTTCTGCTCAAAGCAACAGCTAGTATTAGTTGTAGGGAAGATATCAAGCTACTAGATCTGCTACCAGACAACATCCTATATCGAAAGACAAGAGTATGCTTCTCGAAAGTGTTCGATTCGAACTAACTGCTTCACGTTCTTTCACTAGGTATCTTTAAAGGATCGAAAAATGAGTGAATATTTTGTGTCAATATTTTCTCGCTATAGATTACATTTTCTGAAGCAGCCAATTTATTGGCATTTTCATCAAGTGCTTGAGTTGAAGTATTTGATATTGTATCCCAATTTGCAACAATTTCTTGTCCTTTCGATGTAGGTAAATCACAAATAATAACTTGTGCACCTTGTTTTGTAAATCTTTTAGCACAAGCAAGACCTAAACCTGACGCACCACCGGTGATTAATGCAACCAGACCTTTCATAATTTGGCCGTGGTTTGTTTTTTTTGTTGTATTTTATATCTGAAATATGATCATTATTTGATATTTTCTTATCTATTCATTATATGTTTGTAGTCAAAGAAAAAGAAAGTTTATTTTCGTTTAAGACGTTTTTGAAAATCGTTCTCATTTGAATATGATCTAAGCATTGTTGCCCATCGTTGACAATCATCAAAAAGAATTAAATGTTGCTAGATAAAATAAAAGAAAAATATATTAATTAAAACTAAAACATTAATTTTTATACTTCATGTGTTAATAATTTTTCATGATCTGCTCTTGAATATGGTAGAATTTCATCATAAAGTTTTGATAAATATTCCTAAAATAATTTCATCTTTTTTCTTTTATATAAAATCATAACTTATAATTAAAAATTTTACTATTTGTTGACTATATGGATAACTATCAATAATATCTCCAAGTAATCGTACACAATCAATAAAATCAATTTGTTTTTCGAATAAACGTGGATTAAGTTTATCTTTAATTATTTCATCAATAATCATTGCCTTTTGAATAAGAAATCAACATTTAAGAAATAAAAGATCTTTTTATTTTTTATTGTTGTGTTTCCTACTTCACTTTTTTTCTCATGTTCAATCATATTAACTAATCTTTTCAAATGTAATAATGCAAGTTGTGTACGAATACGAACAGTACGTTCATTGGTTTTTAAGAATAATTCAACAATATAAACATTTTTTGATGATAAAGTATATAGACATTCAACAAGTAAATCACGCTAAAAGAAATATTTTAATTTCGATTTAAAATTCGAATGATATTAGAAAGGATTCTCTTGAATTACATGATCTATTCAGTATTGAGAAATCAAATATACTATGTTTTAGAATAGAGGACATCAGAGCACGACATTTTCGTAATCTGTTCTAGACTAAAAAAAAACTCTTCTTCTATACTCTAATGCAAAGTTTTTTTTCCAATGAATCTAGTTTATGTTATTCATATCGATGAAGAGCAAATAGGAATGAACAAAATACTAAAATTTCTCCATGTGAATTCTATTCAGACTGATTACACATGTATTTAAGACACAGTCAGATCTAGCTTAAGAGTTTTCGATCGAAAAACACTTTTCGCTGCAGGTATCTCTCTATTGAAGTTCAATGATCACTTTAATTCAATTCCTATTGCATAGATTAGCCGTTTCAATTATCATAAGATTACAGGTTATACTATCAGCAATCTGACGCGTCGAATAATATATATAGTCAATCTTATTTTCATAAGACTTTGAAGGAATTAGAGTCACTTTACTGATAGACGATTATGCACCCAAAGAATGACAATTGCAATCCTAGGTACCAATCGAAAATGTTTTTCAAAAAAATTTCGTATCTTCAAGGTAACTGTCTCATACGGATAAGAAACTTTCAAATTATGATTCAACAAACTTTACTCTATAGACACTTGAGGATCTTCCCTTGTCAAATTCAAAGAGTTGTCTTATGTATTAAAAGTGATTTTTAAAATGACTAACTTTTTCATTCCAATATGTTGGTGTTAATAAAGTAAGTGCATTGACCATTAAACGTCGTGCCATATGAATAATATCTAAATCTAGAAAACGTTTATCAAGTTGAAGATAAAATCCAAGTAAAAATAAAAATAAATAATTGTCATTTGATAATGTTGCATTTAATCTAATAATAAAAACAAAAAAAAAGATATTGTTTTTTTTTCTTTTAAATATATTTTCTTTTACTTTTCTACTTGAAAATATGCAAGAGATAAAATAATTCGAAAGACACGTTTTATAGAATTTATTATTTGATTTGTTGATGCTTTAGTTTTTGTTTGATCATCATAATTAAGTTTTGATTTTAATTGTACACTAACATGAAAAATAAAAAGATTTAAATACAAAGAAATTATTGCTTTTTTTTTATTTTGTTTTGTAATTATTTACTCATTTAATAATTCTGTTATTTTTACATCTTCTAATAGAGCAATAAGTTTTTCAACATTAACACCAGCATTATGTAAAATATCAAATAGAAGTCCAATATCATATTGCCATGTACTTTCAATCTATGAATTGTTTTTTCTTTTTTGTTATTTGAAACAAATGATTCTTGTAAACTTACATCTTGATGAAGATATTCAAGAAGATGATCAACAGAACTATTTACAGCTTCATCTGTTAAACAACAACCTTAAGACAAAATAAAACGGACATCAAGAAATTTCTATTAAACTTTCAATTAATCAAACTAACACACTCGCATATATTTTATAATCAATGCTCGTTTTGTATATTGATCATTTTCATCTTTAATAAACCATAATACTTGTTCAAACATTTCAAAATCTAAATAAAATATTTCAAAAAAAAAATAAATAAATAAATAAAATTTTTATTAACCATTTGTAGTTAAAGCACAATTAATAATTTCATCACATTCAGGATGAATATATGATGAAGCAAATAAAGGTTTATCAAATCCATTTAATTCTAGATTAGGAACAATACGATAACGAAAATGAGAGAATGGATTAGTCGATGAAGATGAATGTGTATCCGGTATCTATATAAAAATGAGTCTTTCTTTTTTGTTCTATAAATATTATTATTATTATATAATTTTTACTTCAAGTTGTGCTTTTGCTTCGAGAATATCTTGTCTAACTTGTTCTTCTTCCATTAAGCGTATTAGTAATCTTAAACGAAAAAGATAAATTATATAATCTTTCTTCAATAAAAATTCAAATGAAACATGAAGATTAGCTAGAATTTAACACTTCATAAGAAGTCTATATTTAGATATCATACATGATCATCATTAGTTTTATAACAATTAGATAGTATAAATAACAAAATTTATGTTTTAAATTTTTTACGAAAAACTTATTCTGGTTTTGAACAGTAGTATCTTATTTAAAAATTATCATTAATCAAAGTTTAATAAAAACAAAAAAAAGAGAAAGATAATCTTATCTAATGTAATAATTATTATTATCGAATTACTTTTCTCTTACTTTTTTTTGAAGGATAAGTATCATCGATTCGAAATCATAAAAAGTATGACATAACTCAATTTCGTATTCGATGATGGATCAATTGACGATATTATTATTCAGACAGCTATATTTTAACTGACATAATAATTAACACTGATGATTCTTTATTAAAGTACAATTTCCTGTAGAATG